ATCTAATAATCTAATAATGATAATACCAGATCTTCATCCATAGAAACTTCCAAATTCCTTCTATTTTTACTAACAGCGAAGCAACCATTGACTGAAACCGAAAAGTCATCTTTATACCCGGGCAAAGGTAAAAAACAATAAAGCTTTCCTTTATTCTTTGACACATCATCTATTCTTGCAGCCAATCCAACATTTGGTACAAATTTGCAATCACGAATATAATTCTTAAATTTAGCATAAGTTTTATCATTAACATCAGCAATATAATTGATAATTAACCATTCACTTTTGATATTAGATTGAGAAGAACTTTGACAAAATTTCATTTTGTAAATAGTTTCAAAAGCGCCAGTATTTGTTGGAGATTTTATTATTGACATTATATTATTAGCCAATAATTTTCTCTTATCAGATATTTCTTTAGCATTAGTAACTTCAATTTGATATAAAAGTTTAGGAATAGTTTGACCTTTTTCGATTTCGTAAAATGATATTCTTTCAATATATTTCAAAAACATAAGACAAGTAATGTTATCAACTTGAAAAAAAGTTTCAAACATTTCTTTTATTTGGTCAATTCGATATATTTTTTCAGAAATTTCGGATTCTGAAGCATCCAATTTCGTACGAAGGGAATATCGGAATATTGTTCCATTATAAAATTCATCTAAACTATTATTTAAAGCTACTGAAAAGGGCGTGAATTGATCAGGAAACTTTTGATTAAAAATAAAGGAAGAAATCAGTATCATATCAATTATATATGCACAAGTTAATACAATAGATCAGATAATTTTCACCTTTTTTATTAGATCATGTTCTACGAAATCACCTTTGAAACCTCGTTGGCCAGGTGGCAAATTACAATAACCACGAGCATGAGGATCGATAAGAACATAAGATGACCCAGAAATAATGGAACTAACATCAGTAATATGAAAAACTGAATTAAATCCGATACCCATTACTGAAATTTAAAATTAATTTGTTAAATTTTTTGAAATAATAAACTTATCATCTACAATACTACAAATATGTTACCTCCAATTTTATCAAATTTATCTCTTTTTTCACTATTAGCTAAATTCAATAAAGATTTAAAATCTTCAGGTTGAAAAATGGTATCGTTAACAGCCAAAAGT